GACAGCCTAGCTCCTGTCCTAATTAAGAGAAGATCATAGATGAGCACCTCTGAGCAGTGTGGGTTATGGCATAGTTTTGGATTCAGACAGCAGCATACAAGCCCTTCTATGTGTTCCAAGCAAGGACTTTTAAAGACTTCCTTCAAATTTTAGTGTACATTTCTTCATAGAAAAGTTTAAAATAAAGAGGTGGCGCTGATTATTCAGTACACATGGCTCTGCAGTCTATCATCAACAACCAAGGACAATTTTGTTACAAACTATCAAGATACATAAATGTGTGAAGTCTGTAGTTCGCATGGAGTTCACTATTGAAGCTGTACATTTCACAAGGGGAAAAATGTGCAATAAAGAAGGCAGTGTTTGCTACTGTGCAATTTTGTTTCACTGTCCTAAAAATCCTTTGCTCTAAAAATTATCCCTTTTCATTCTCCTCCAATCCCTGCCAGTCATTTGTGTTTTATCACTCCCATCATGTATTCTTTTCCAAAATGACAAAATCTTGCCTTTATACCATAGAATTTGAAAGATAATCTCAGAATACACTGTACTAAGAAACATAATAATTAAAAATATTGAGGAACACCTCTTAGCTCTTACAAGGTTATCTCTATCCCTTCTGTGCCCTCTGTTCAAGACCTGGAGGCCTTACTATGCACCTCTTGCTGGTGCTCTACATCTTCTACAAAGTCCCTGCCTGCCACAAGCTCTCAGCAGAAAGTGGTCACTCTCTCAGGACAAAGATCAACCTGAAGCAGGTGCAGCAGTGAGCTGCAGACCTGGACCCGTGGCCCTCTGAGTGCTGGTGCTCTGGGTGCAGGTGAGACAGCAGGATGTGGAGAGGCCTCCATGACTGGGCCCATAGGACCCAGGAGTAAGAGGCAGAGACCCTGTTCACTGTGCCCCACATGCACCTTCCACTTGATCAGCCAGCAACACTCTTTCTGGGAAGACCCCAGTGTGGGATATCATTCACTGAGGGGGTTATCTGTGTCTTGCTTCTGCCTTTCTTTATATTCTAGTGACATTATTGTGGGATCCAGGGCCCAGGTTCTCCTTCAGAATCTCTTAAGAGAAATAGTCTCTACTGCTTTCCTTGCAGCAGAAGAATCCAGGGGATTTTCCAAAGACTCAGCATGTGCTGTGTATGTCTTGGCTTGAATCTGTCTATAATTGTGCTTTAGACACAGGATAAATTCTCCAAGTAAATTTATAGATGAAACTTAATTAAAAATAGAAGCATAATTCCACAGTTAAACTAGACATAGATCCAGGGCTAAATAGAAATATGTGGCTCATGTCTGGAATATTGATCAATAGGGGTGCATACACTTAAACCATTTTAGAAAATCATTTTGATATTCACTGTTCACATTTCCTTTGACACTCATATTGCTGTAGACAGAGACAAAACTTCCCCAACCTGTATCCCATAAGCCTGGTGACATAGATGTTTACTCTGCTGTGTAGTTTTTGATTCATTTTCCCCCTCTAATGAATTAATACTTATTTCAGGATGAACCGTGCCAAAATAAATCTAAGCCCTCAATCCTTTTCAATAAGAGTGCTACAGTTTTCTAACTCCATTCTTTCTTGGAATATAACTGAGGATTGTGTGTTTGAGGATTATCTGATGGCCTTTATTGAAATCCATAATGGCACACTTGACTGACGCTGAGCAGGAAAAAGTGAGTGGAAAAGGAGGAAGCAGGAGAGGAAAACAGCATTATCCCAATTGTGAACATTCTTGGAATGAGGAGGAAGTAGGAGATGTTGTTTTTCAACTTAGCAGTATTAACTACTCTGTAAAATGCAAATTCACGAGGTTTTTCTTTATCTGTAACTCAGTAAAACAATGTATTTGTGTTTATTACCTTAGAAAATAATCTTAGGGTAACTAACAAATATGGAAGTATTGTACAGTGAGTTCGTTTTGTTGACAGTCTTTTAGAGGAACTATATGTTACCTCAGGTACGAATAAGTACCTGGAGGGAAAAAAAACACGTAAGACTTAAAAATTTAAGAAAAAAATCCCAAAATACCTAGCACTATAGATTTTTGAATGAAATCATAAATAAACCAACTTATACGGGTTTTAATTGCTAATTATGCAAAGATAGAATCTTAAAAATTCATGATATAAAAATTCTACGAAGTAAAGGTGCACCTGAATAAATTTAACGTTTTTTTTTTTTTCTTTTTATATCTTGAAATTAACTTTCAGTGTGTGGAGTAAAGTGTTTGCTATTCTGAGATGGTGGCTCTCTTGTGAGCTCTCAAAAGAGGGTGTGATAATACATGTGTCCAAATAAATCTTATGAGTCATTTCTCTTTAGTACTCTAACTGTGTTATAAAAGTAGTTTACAATGCCATTCCTTAGAGACGTGTGGGAAGAGGTTACCTGACAGCATTTACCTATTCAACCTATAATCACAGCCTTGTCTGTGTATTACAAAGTGATGGTGATTATAAAGAGGAAGCAGGGAAGAGAGAGAAACAGGATTCTAACTAAGAGTTTTCTTTCAGTGAGGAAAGGAGGACCTTTGAGGTTACTTTTTGTCTTCTCTGCATTTACCACTGTATTAACTAGTTATTTCAGAATTAAACTCTGGAGGTGTTTCCTGATCTGTGACTCAGAAATTTTCTTCCTCACATCATTGTATTTATAATGATGCTTGTTAATATAGACGTCCTAAGAATAATTAATAAATATTAAACAAATGCTCTTCTAGTTTATATAGTGTTTGACAGTAAATATATGTTACTTCAGTGACAAAGATCTAACTAAATGCCACGAAGTAGATAGTAACTGACTGTGGAAAAATGTAAAAACTTAAAGAATTACAGATAAAATATAATTGCCATTGAAACATAAATATCCTTGTGAACAAACAAAATGATAACAATCTGTGTATCTGATTAATTAAGCAAACTATATAGCCTTAATGAACCAACATTTAAAAAAATATCAAAAGTAAGGGACAAAAATGAACACTATGTCACCATATTTATCTTGAACACAAATGTCTGTAGCAAAGTATTTGCTATTCTGAGAATCTTCTGTTGTAACCTGTATATGTTAACACGTCATTGTCCTTTTTGAATGTTTTAGATCCAAATTCTGGATCAAGTGAATATTCTTGACTCTGGGAAAAACACCTGCAATAGTAGAGTCACCAAGGTGCCAGTAATGAAGCTCCTGACTAACCTAGAACTGCTGTGTCCATAGCTGTGATAGTATAATCCTAACTTTTAAGTTCATTGTTTTCAATGAAAAATGAGAGCAATGGTTTCCTGAGAGATGTTACACTGTGTGATACATGAATCCGGAGATGCTGGAGGCCTTTAAAGGAAGTAAGAGTTGGTGGAAGCAGTAATGTGCCTGGGCTCTAGTGCTAGCTAAGATCACTACCTCATGCCCCGTGCACTGACTGAAAAGAGAGAGCTGGAGAGTGGCTTGCAGGAACCCAGCACTGGGACCTTCACACATCTCAGCTGCCACAGTTGGAGCCAGTCATCAACTGCTCAGAGTGTGAGCTAGGGAGCTGCTGGGTTCTCATAGGCTGCCTGGCAGGGGCTCTGGGATTGGAAGGATGGGCTGGCCTTACATATCTATAGTGTGATTCTTTACAAACATTTCCTGCATTGTCTTCGGGGACTCATGGGCATTGCCAGAACTAAATCTTTGTCAGATCCTGAGGGTTACACACGTCATGCTCAAAGTCTTATTACCAGTATCACTTTAGATCTCTAGGTGAACTGTTAGTCTTTCATCCTCAGTAGTAGGAGGATTTATTAAGAGGAATCTTTTGAATTTTTTATATCATCCTATCTCATATGTAATAGAATACAATCAGCTTCAAGAATACATTTGAAAAGATTCAGTCATGGCCTGAGAGTATCAAAATGAACAGGTTGTTGAGTGAAAGATCTTCCAGCAGATGGCGAACAACCACACATTAAACAAGGAGTGATGCTTCCCTATGAGGGAGCCACTAAGGCAGGAAGCAATATGCCCAATTCTCTAAATTCACATGGCTAGGGCTTCTGTGCACAATGGGCCCGGTCTTCCCCATCTGCCAGTTCCTTACTATTTCCTGTTTCAATCTGGGACTGGCATTCACCTGACTATGATCAGCTACCCAGGAGACCTCTTGGTCAGCAATGAAACGGGATGGATGACAAAGCTAGAGCCACAACTCTGAATGTGGCCAGCCATGAGTGAAACACAAGTGAAGTGGCCTGGTGTATTCTGAGGTGACAGATGCTATGTATCTCAACTGCAGTCAGAGGTGCTGAGGTGAAGCCCTGGAGGAGTCACTTAGAGGAGGGCCAGGTGTATGGTAAGAGGGTCTGAGACTGCAGCTGTTTCCCAGCTGTTTTCCTGAGCACTTGGTTCAGAAATATTCTGACCCCCAGAGATCTGTTTACCAGTTTAAGTATAACCTGATGCTCACATTGTTTCTCAGATGATACTACCTTATCCTATAATGAACATCGAGCTCAAGAACCTGGCTGGGTGGTTGGTTGAACACAAGCAGAAACATGCATCTGTGTGTGCTATGGAAGCCTGGGGCTGGACAGCAGCATTGGTCAAATCCTTCCCAGCCCTCTTAGTCATGCTGTGAGTGTGAATAGATGAACCCAGAGAATTTTTCAGAGTTCACAGATTCTGCTCTGTTCTTGTCTTGCCTTCTCATTTTTACTCTAAGTTTGAAACAGTCCATGTGTTTTTCTTCATTCTTCATTCTCAAAGGGAATGTAACATAGGTCCATGGTCCTCAAGCAATGCCTGTTCTGTAATGTGAGAAGAGCAGTGCACTCTGATCGTGGGAGAACAGCCCGATTTCGTCCTATAGCCCAAGGGCGAAATACATGCTCTGTAGCCAAATCTGTGCTGCCCTGGTGTAGATAGGGTCCCCAGGGGACACTGAGCCTGTACTGACACTTAGCCAGCCTGCAGCTGGGCCAAACCCCTTCCAGCTCTGCTAATTTGCATATCCCAGGAGACCAGCCAGCTACTTCAGGACTTCTTCATAGGCTTCTGGTCTCACCCTGTGAAGCTCCAGTCCCACTCAGGACACACCATTGACATGGGGGTCCTCACTCACTTTCTGGGCCTCTTGGTGCTCTCGATATCAGGTAAGAAAGGGCAGCTCCAGGAATTTATTTAGCTCTGGATTTACAGAGTTGCCTGATATTTCAGTGTGGTCCTGTTTCATCTTGAATATCTATGTTAATATTTTTTATGTTTCCCATTTCAGGTGCCAGATGTGACATCCAGTTGACACAGCCTCCATCTGCATCTGCTTCTGTGGGAGACACAGTCAAGATCAGTTGCCGGGCCAGTCAGAGTGTTGGTAGTTACTTAAACTGGTATCAGCAGAAACCAGGGCAAGCTACTAAACCCCTGATCTACTATGCAACCAGCTTGGAATCTGGGGTCCCTTCGAGGTTCAGTGGCAGTGGATCTGGGACAGATTTCACTCTCAGCATTAGCGGCCTGCAGCCTGAGGACTTTGCAACATACTACTGTCAGCAGCATAACAGTTTGCCTCCCACAGTGATACAAGCCATGACAAAAACCTTCCAGAGAAGCAGAAGTGTGGGCCTGGGCTCCCTCAGCTGCCCCTCTTTGTGTCTCCAGCTGTGGACCAAGATCTTCAGATGCATCCAGGACTTTGAAGAGCTCTGGAAGGATTTGGTAGAAGCCTCCAAGGAAGCTCCTCTCTCCACTAACTTTCTTTTCTGTTTCTCACCCCTGATTCAATTAAAGATGTCTTTGAAGACACTGAAGTAATATGGATTATGGCATCGTTTTGCATTCACTTGGCAACAGAGCAGTTCTTCTTGGGTTCAAAGCAATAATTTTTGAAATAATTTATCACTGTTACAGATTTATTAATTAATTTTATTTTTATTTTAAAGAGTCTAAAACCAAAGTTCAACAAAATAAATTTAATCAAAACAGTATAGTGAAATCCATATTGCACCTCAAAGCAAGGCAATAGAAATCATCAGAGGCTAGCATGCGGTATAACATGATTTCCAGAGTAACTTCCCATAGCATCAGAGGTAATGAAGTTAAGTAAACCAAATGGAATAAAATCAAAACAGAACAGTGTAAACAGTACAGAACATCAAAATAAGATTTTAAGATATTAATAACGGCTGCAGTTATGCCTCTTCAAATCATACCTGTAAAGATCTATAGTCACAACAAAAGCTAAAGTGCAAAGGTATTTTTATGCCTCTGTCCCTACATCTGCATAGTAGATTATCACCATATCAACTTTGTCCTAACCCATCAAGATAAGTTCAAAGTTCGTGGTTCACATTAATTTTGACTCTTGACATTAAATATTTCAGCACAAAACCCAGGTATAAAGCCAAATGTCCAAAATGTGTTATGAAATAATGTTGTCATAATACCACTGTCTCGTACCTGTACAGCTTCTTTTTCCTCCATTTTCTGTAAGAGAATTGTGTCGTCCCATGACTATCGATTTCGCTTTTCTCAAAAGACAAAATCCTGGTGTTTACAGTATGGAAGATTTTCAAAAACTGATGTCAAAATATGCTACTATGGAACACAGAAATAAAAATAATGAGGAAAACATTTTGCTACTGCCAAGACTCCCTTTATAGCATTTATTATTATCAGGAGTATCCTGGCACAGTAAGGGTATTAGATCCTTCACTGTGCAATGCTATGGCGCTTTCATAGAACTGACTGTGTCTCAGAGGTCAGCAGTTGGATACTGATTGTTTGGATGGAATGTTAAGAGTCTATTGTAATTTTAAAATAGCAGAGGGAGTTTTAAACTTTTTTCTTTCAGGTTACATTATTGATACACCCTGTTATAAATTCTGATGCCAATACAACCAATTGGTTTTAAAGGTGGACCCTGGAACTCTCACTTTTCTTTTGATAACATTCAGATCCTTTCACTATTTCACTGAACCCAGCTCCGTTTCATTCTCTACCAGTCAGGGAGCTCCCATTTTTTCATGCTGATCTTTCTCTTACAAATGAAAAAAAAATGGTTTCATTTTTTTGCTGAAGAAAAGTATCTTCTCTTATTATTTCCACATCTTAATGTGTAGTTTTTAGGCTGTGGCACTTGAACACTTTCCATAAACACAGCATTGCAGCCCCTGGGAAAGAATTAAGCAGACATATTTCTTAGGAAAACAGTAGGGTGTGATATAACTAACACTGGGCCATTAGTATGTTTTCTAGTATTTCAGTAAAGATGGAAATGGCAGAGGAGGTTGCAGCCATTTTGGGGACATAATTTTCTAGTGTCATAACAATTTTTTTATAGAAATCCTCACATTCAACTATAACAAGCATTCTCTCTGTGTAGTCCATTCCCTCCTTCTTCAACCCACTGACAAGATGTTTTCATGTATCCCTGCTCTCCAATATTTTCTTTATTAATTTTTTGCCTTTTCAGTATAATGTATTAATTGATTAGCTCTCCATCTTCTACAACATTTCAGGCATTGAAAATGGTAATTAATAAATGCTTTAATGACCTTTGCCTCCTCTAATTACTAAGGTATCAGTTAAATAAAATTTCTAAAAAGTGGTGTGAGCATCTAAAATGCACATCGATTCCAAATGGAAATGGTGAACACATGAATTCCTAGAAGAGAGTGGCAGTCTTAAAAACCTATTTTCATAGTGTCACATAGAGATCTCAAGTCTTTGATTATGCACTCGAAAACACCTATTATCTCACATCTTGCCTAAAACTATTTAAACCAGCTTTATTCATAGCAGTCTGACAGAAAAGTACCTCAGTCATCACCAGCACATGAAGCAATACATTATGATATCTCCATCAATTAAACAGTGCTCAGAAATGAAGAGGATCCCACTATTGGTACATGATTAATATGAAGTGAACCAATAACCAGCTATGTTGTGTTAAAGGACAAAGTGAGTAGTGAATAGAAGCTATATTATTTCTTTTTGTATGAAATTCTAGGGAGGGACAATCTAACATGCAGCTACAACAGATAGACCCAAGTTTGAAAAGTCCATGGGGAGAAGAGGAAACTGATTAAACGAATGGCAGTAAAAAGTACTGCTTATTCACGATAATTTGTTACTCTAGTGGAATTTTCCAATGTAATTTTGATGGAAATTACATCAAATCTATAATCCACTGTGGATGGTATGAACATTTTAGCAGCAGTAATTCATCTAATCCAGGAACAGGTGGCACCTGTCCATTTGGTTGTGTCTTCTGTAATTTTATTCTCCACTTTCAGTGCTGTCTAATGTCTCAATATTTCTCTAAAGATTGCGTGTTTGTGTCCTGTTTGCTTTGTTTTGCAGCCTAAAGTTACAGTCCTGCACTTTCTGCTGAAGCTGCTCTACACACACTTGTCTACCATGTATTTCATTAATTCATATTTATTTCTGATCTCATTTGGCTCAAAATTTTTCCAATATGAACTTAATTTCATTTGCACGTCCTACAGTTCCTCACCATGTATTTAAAAAATGGCACAGAAATCTATAATTAACTTTAATATCTTTGGAGAAATGACTACCTGTGGGTGTTTTTCTGGACTCCATTTTCTTGCTTATTCAGATTGTTTACCTTTATTTCTATGATGTTCTACTTTGTCTTATTGAAGCTCTTTGTTAATTCCCCATCCAGTTTTGCAATGCCAGGGATACAACCTTGGGTTTTATGCATGCTTGGCTAATGTTTTACTGTGAAGCTCTATGACCATTTCCTACAAAAATTTCAAAATATATTGTCACTCATATAGTTTTTGTTGTTTAAAATATTTGTGGATATTTTAGTCCCTTTGATTTTTCTTGTATATTCTAGAGGCTGCTTTTCCATTTAAATCAATCATTTGTAGATTGATTTGATTTCATTGCCTGAAATACATTTGTGTAAATATATGTATCTTTTGAAAACATTAAATGTTAATAATATCAAGATTTCTATTTGATGGGCATGGAAAAAGTCTATTTACCTAAATGTTTTGAATTTATAAGACATAGTTAATATGTTGACAGTGGACCTAGAGACTTTATGAAATTATTATTCTACTGGTTTTTGGTGTACTCATAAGAATTATTTTAAAAATGTTATTGGAAGTAAGTGTCCCTGGTACCAAAAAAAAAAAAATACATCTGCCAGGAAGTAAGTGAAGCTATACCTTTTTTCCTTTAACTTGTGAATTTTATTACTTTTTCTTGTCTTCTTGTGTTTCCTAGAACTTTCACCATAAGTTTGCATAAAAGTGGTTAAAGTAGATATGCCAGCTTATCCGTTCTGAAGGATGAAATATTTTGTTGGTGAATGTGATGTAGATACTTCATTTGGAGTGTAAAGAGTTTTCTAAAACTATTAAAATGAAAGTGCCAGATTTTGGTTTGATTGATGGATTGTAACAGAACAATGCAGAGAATCACCCAAGGAATAGTTTTTAGCCTGCACAGGAAGTTCTAGTTCTGATTTCACTGAAATGGAATCAGTGTGCTGAAGAGGGAGAGATGCATTGCAGCTCATCTGTGAAGCTGTGGTTGTCCCCTGACCTACACCACTGAGCCTAAGTGCATGTCGTCCTTGGTAAATTCCCACAAGGGTAAGGCTGCATTCCTAACCTTTGGAAAAGTGTGAAAAACTGCAAAGGAAAAGAGTATCTGGAAGACAAATTTCATACAAAACCTTATTTCAACCAGACACGGTTATGCACCAAGGGAGATGATAAATTATATTAGAGGTAGAGAGAACCAATGTAGGCTTAATCTTGTACCTAATAGGGTTGTTTTGAAGACCATGTGGTTGAGTTTAGAGTTTGGGCAAGACAGGAAGACACCAGGATCCAGTTCCATGACCCCAGAGTAGAAATGTTATTCTGTGGCTGTGCCCAAGGGCCTTTTGTTCTTACTACCTGGGCCTGGCTTGCTCAAGTGAGGACAAGAAGAGTTCAGTGTTTGTGTAGCTGCAGGCTCAGCTCATCTCACTGTTGCTGCTCTGCATGCTTCTCCCAGCACCCCTGATGTTCAGAGCGCACATCACTGCCTGAGCCAGAGCTCTGTGAAGACCTGCATCAGGGAGGACTGAGCATGTACTGTGTAAGCCCTGGTTAGGCTCCTCTGTCTCTTGATACTCTGAATCCCTGTTGAGGGCCACATGAGATGTTTTTGCATATCTATGAAAACTCTCATTGTTAGCTTCTATGTATAGTAGTAGATTCTGTGTTCAATAAATTTCATAATTCAAGTTCAATGTAGAGCAATTAGCTCAGTTGCGAAGACTATTGGTATGACTTAGATTACATGGCAAACTCTTCTATTTTATTTTTCAATCTCAGATTCTAATGGGGAAACCCTGCTGACCCAGACTCCAGTCTCCCTGGCTGTGTTGCCAGGAGAGAAACATTCACTGTCACTTGCAGGAGCAGTGAAAGTTTTAGCATCTATCTAGCCTTGTTCCAACAGAAACCGGGACAGGCTTCCAGGATCCTCATCTATGACATCTCCAGCAGGGCCGCTGGTGTCCCAGCCCTTTTCATTGGCAGTGGCTCAGGCACATACTTTCCTCTCACCATCAGCAGCCTGCAGCCTGAGGACATTGCAGTTTATCACTGTTATCAGTATTACAGCACATGACCCATAGTGATTCACCTTGAAACCAAAACCTTCTGAGACTTTGTCATTATTTTGCTCATATGAGTTGCTTTCTTTATGGACAACTACTATGGTTCCTGCTCAGTCTAAATGTCTCTGCCACGATCTGGCAACCTTGTCATGCTGAAAACAACCTGGTGATATGATTTTGTCTGATTC